AATAAAATAGTTAAAAGTTCGAATTATTCCAAATCTTGTCAGGTTTTGAAGTTTTCTGAAAAAATTTTCAATTTTTTTGATAAAAATTCAAGGTTTTAAAAGTCTTACCATTGACTTACCATGAGCCATAATCAAAATACCTTCATTCCACAATCTACACCGAATACTGATTTTCACCAATTAAATAACGCGCGCTGAGGTTTTTGCAAAAAACTAGACATTTCCTTGCAAAATCCAAAAGAACCGTTTTTCTTACCATTCTCTTACCATCACACTGAAACCTTACCATTCCCTATCTTTTTACCGTGGTAAAACTATTCCCTATCTTAATACAATGAATTTCTAATCCTTATACATAGAGAAATCTATAAACTATTCTAATACATGGGAATTTCGGGCGCCGAAAAAAAAATTTATCATCTGAAACTTGCCATCTTAATACATTGGGAAAGTGGTAATTATTTTTAAATGACACGAATTGATGATGCTATTTCAATAGTCTGGTTGATCTAGCATCATTAAACTTTGTCTGAAAAACCTGGACCCTTCACTTGCCTATGTAAACAATTGGCGAACTACATGGTCCCGATATTATATCGATATTAATAACTCGAAGTGATGCTCTTTCCTTGATTACTCTGATTGATCTAGCATCATAAAATTATCTATCTTTGTTTAAAAAGCAGATGCCTTCTGACCAGTGTCGATTTGTATGGTATTGACATTGCGTCGATCCTGTCATTTTTGATTTCTCATAACTTGAAGTGATGATGCTCTTTCTTTGATCATTCAAGCTGTATTTAGCATGGTAAATAAATTTTTAATTTAAATCTCCGTTATCCTCTTCTTGCCATTGATAACAATTCACGAACGATATTATGCTGAGCACGTCGGAATCGATTGTTAATAACTCGAAGCGATCATGCTCTTTCTTTGATAATTCAAAAATCATCCAGCATCACAAATAAAATTTTTGTTTTCTATCCCCGATACCCCCAACTTGCCATTGATAACAATTGGCGAACTGTATCTTTCCGATATTATACTTCACAATTTTTTATGGTTTTTCACAAATTTGTATTAAAAATTTTGAAAAACTTAAATAAAACTTCACAAAATTTTATGGTTTTTCACAAATTTGTATAAAAAATTTTTGAAAAACCTTAAAGTTTGTAACTATGAACTCTATAATTTAGTGCTGTCATCTTACTCTTAAAGGATGCATATCTTATTTCCATTATATGCTGCTTTTATGAGTTGTTAAAAATTCGAAGCACCGGAGGTGCGCTACACGCTAGTATTTGTTTGAAAAAACGGAACCCTTCATTTTATGTTAATAATGAGCGAATTATATGTTGTCAATTTTATGCCGACCATGTCTCACTCTTTTTTTAATAACTCGAAGTGATAATGCTGTTTCATCTACTACATTGGTTGATCTAGCATCATAAAAGACTCTGTTTGAAAAACTGGTACCATCCACTTGCTTTTGTTACCAATTGTCGAACTATTTGGTATTGAAGTTGTGTCAAGACTGTGGTACATGATTTTTCATAACTTGAAGTGATGATGCACTTTTATTTGATTATTTAAATTTCATCTAGCATCACAAAAAAAAAGTTTTTGTTTTCTATCTCTAGTACCCTCCACTTGCCAATGGTAACAATGGGCGAACTGTATCTTTCCGATATTATACTTCACAAAATTTTATGGTTTTTCACAAGTTTGTTTTAAAAATTTGGAAAATTTTCTATAAAACTTCACAAAATTTTATGGTTTTTCACAAATTTGTATTAAAAAACTTGAAAAACCTAAAGTTTGTAATTTTGAACTCTGTAATTTAGTGCTGTCATCTTACTCTTAAAGGATGCATATCTTATTTCCAATATATGCTGCTTTTATGAGTTGTTAAAAATTCGAAGCACCGGAGGTGCGCTACACGCTAGTATTTGTTTGAAAAAACGGTACCCTTCATTTTATGTTAATAATGAGCGAATTATATGTTGTCAATTTTATGCCGAGCATGTCTCACTCTTTTTTTAATAACTCGAAGTGATAATGCTGTTTCATCTACTACTTTGGTTGATCTAGCATCATAAAAGATTCTTTGTTTGAAAAACTGGTACCATCCACTTGCTTTTGTTACCAATTGTCGAACTATTTGGTATTGAAGTTGTGTCAAGACTGTGGTACATGATTTTTCATAACTTGAAGTGATGATGCACTTTCTTTGATTATTTAAATTTCATCTAGCATCACAAAAAAAAAGTTTTTGTTTTCTATCTCTGGTACCCTCCACTTGCCAATGGTAACAATGGGCGAACTATATGTTACCAATTTTATGTCGAGCATGTCGTTCGTACTCAGTAGTTAGTAACTCGAACTGATGATGCTCTTTTACTGAATACTTTGGTTGATCTAGCATCATGAAATAATCTTTGTTTGAAAAACCGGTATCTTCCACTTGCCTATGTTAACAATAGGCGAACTATGTGGAACCGATATTATATCGAGCATATCGGAATCGATTGTTGATAACTCGAAGTGATGATACTCTTCCAGCGATATATTTTTACTTATCTAGTATCGTTGTCAAATCTGATTTTTTATGGAGAAAAAAATTGTACCCTCCTTTTACTTATGTTGTTTGTGGGCGAATTAAAAGGTACCAATGTTTTGTCGAGCATGTCGTACTCGTTGGATAATAAATCGAAGTGTTTATACTTTTTTATTGATTTCTATCATTGATATATCGCCATAAATTTATCTATCTTTGTTTCAAAAACCGGTACCGTCCACTTGACTCTAAACGAATTGGTGAACTATTTTATGCGGAATTCTTATTGAGCATGTCATAACAGATATTTAATATATGGAAGTGATGATTCTATTTCCCTATTTTTCTTAAATTATCTAGCATCTTAAAATAATCCATCTTTGTTTGAAAAACTGGTACCCTCCATCTGCCTTTCGTAACAGTTGGAGAGCTATATGGTATTGACATTTTGTGTAGCTTGTCGTTTTCGTTTTTTCATAAAGTTGAAGTGATTATGTTCTTTCTTTGATTTTTTAAAACGCATGTAGCATCATTAATAAGGTATGTTTGTTTCATTTCTCCGGTACCATTGGCGAACTATATAGTACTATATCATTTCGATCATTTCATAATAGATTGTTAATAACTCGAAGTGATGTTGCTATTCCTGTGACTATTTTTTAAACTTATCTAGAATCGTTGACTAATCTGACTTTATTTGAAAAAACTGGTACCCGCCATTTGTCCATGTTGACACTTTTCGAACTATTCGGTACCAACTTTGTGTCGAGCATGACGTTTTCGTTTTGTTGCAACTCGAAGTGATGATACGCTTTCATTGATTACTATCATTGATCTAGCATCATAAAAATTTCTATCACTGCTTGAAAAACTGGTACCCTCCACTTGTCTATGTAATAAATTTCGAACCATATGGTAGCAATTTTGTGACGAGCATGTCGGTCTTGGTTTTTCTGAGCTCGAAGAGACGATGATTTTTCATCGCGCATTAAGGTGTCATCTTGCATTAATGAATAATCTGATTTTCTTTCAATTCACAGGTACTGTCCACTTGCCATTGAAAGCAATTGGCAAACTATATAGTTACGACATTGTTTTGAGCCTATCATATTCGAGTCTTCATAGCTCGATATTATGATGCTCTACCCGCCTTTAATAATTATTTATCTATATGGTATCAAACATTTCGTCGAGCGTTATTCGTTGATTTTTCTAAATTCGCCTTTCATAATCCCCTTTCATCGTGATAATACTTTTCCATCAATCAATAGTGGTTGGTCTATATCAATAAATCTGCTGTTGTTTGAAAATCTGGGTAATGTCCACTTGCCTATGTTAACAATTTGCAAATTATTGGCTACGGAAACTGTAGACCATTTTGCAATTGATTTTTTTCAAGTCAAAGTGATGATGCTCCTACAACTATTAAGAATTTTTGTACCATTAATAAGTTTTTTTGTTCCAAGCATTAGGTACCCTCCACTCACTTGCTTTGATAACAATTGGCGATTTTTATGGTACCAACATTTTATCGAGTTTTATGCTTTCGATTTTTCTGAACTCGAAAAGGCGATCCTCTTCCATCGATTAATTATGGTTCAGCTAGCATCATTAAATCTGCTTATATTTAAAAAAAAACTAGTTCCGTTGCACTTTCCTATGTTAACAATTTGGTAATGAAACTTTCGAGCATGTCGTGTTTGATTTATCTTATTTCGAAGTGATGATGATGTTACGTCGATTATTTAGGGTTCTTTTAGCATCAATGAATCTGGTTTTGTATTCGTTAAAATGTACCCTCTACTTGCTTTGATAACAATTGGAGAACTCTATGGTACCAATCATGTGTCGAGCATTATGCTTTCGGTATTTCTGAAATCGAGGTAATGATGTTCTCCCATCGATTATTTTTTATTCTTCTAGCTTCATTGAATAATCTGCTTTTGTTTGAAAAAGCGCCAGTACCTACTAGTAACAATTGGCGAACTGCATATTACTGAATTTTTTGAGTGTGTTGTTTTTGATTTTTCATAACACGATGTTCTTAACTTAATTATTTAGGAATCATTTAGCTTCATTAAATGGTCTGCTTTTGTTGCTAATCATAGATTCCCGCCACTTGCCTCTCATAATATATTTTATCTTTAAACCTAATCTTTTAAGCTGGTGTTGGCATTATGCCTTGTGCATGCTGTCTAGTATTCACTCGCTGGTAATGTCAACTCGCAAAATCTACTAGAAAATAACGGTTCCTACTTGGTTATACAGTTTTTATGATCTTATGACAAGATAGTTAAAATGGTAGTTGCAGTACTGTTATTCAGTTTTTGTCTTAAAAACTTTTTAGATAATATCTTGTGCAAGTGATAAGTCTAGCCTACAAACAGTTATTCAGATACGTATCCATACTGTTGAATAGTATTTTAGTTTTAAAAACAGACATGGTAGACTGTCACTGTAGACAGATTTAATAGAAAAAAGTTGAAAGTAGTTCCATCTAAAAAAAAAAACGAAATACTTTGTACATGTGTTTAATTTCTTCAGACTTTCAGCGAAGATCTGAAGTGCTGCTCCAATTCTAAATGTCGGCCATAAGAGACTTTTTCTCACATTTTGCTTTCCATTGTCTGAATGAATTACAACAGTATTCTGATGCACAATGCCCATATATTTTCATTGCTCTTAAAGCCATTGTGTTACCAACAGCCTTTCTGTTTTTCTTTAGATTAATTTTATCAACTATTTTCATTGCTTTCTTGCTTAAAAATAATAGATATAACTCAAGTTTTGTAGCGTTTTATGGTAGATGATTGATAACTGCGATTACGTCGTATATTTGAGTGAACGATTCTGAACGCTTCATGAATTCAGGTTTGTTTCAATATAAACCAGGACTGTTTTGCTAAGCCAAACAAAACTTTCCTGCAGACTTTATTTATGTTGAAATCTTCAGTCAAGATCGAAGTTATGTAATGTTAACCTCGTGACGCCAAAGTCATGAGGTTACGATGGTGCTGACGCTCAGCATATTTATCAAGTTTGATTTATTTATATAGATGTGCTTTTCATTGTTGCATTACAGCATAAGTTAATATATAAATTTCCCCTATATCAGTTGAGGCTCAAACAAACTCAAGTCAAGACATTTCTTCAGTTAGTTTCAAGATTGAACATTTCAGCAAGTTTGAATCGAATGAACTTTTCAAATCTAAGCTAACTAAACGGGATATTTAATTTTTCTATATGGCTAAGAGAGTTCATAGTTGCTTGATTGAATATTCTACCATATTATACTTTTATTCGAATTGACTTCGGAGCAAACATTTGAGAATCACTATCTTTAATTAATTTTGTAATTCTATTTTGGCCAACTTGCTGGTTATAAAAGCCGCCATGTCTAGATATAGACTTCAAATTGCAAGTTGTATTACTTTTTGCTGAAGTTAGCTCACTTTATTTATTAAATCTACGCATAGCAATTTAATTTCTTCACGAAGCGTGTGTAATCAAGTTTTTATATCAGCAAAAACTGTTACTTTATTTAATTTCACAATTATAATGTCCTTAAATTTTAAAATTTTATTTTGAATTTCAGAATGAAACGTTGCAATATTGTTTAAAAAGATACTTATTTATGTTGGATTTTATCTCACACCCTTCTTACAATTTAGCGGATTCACTTGTTAGTAACAGTTCCACTGATCAAGAGTCTCTTAGGAAGCCACGTTGCAATAGCAACCAGAACTTAAAAGACAACTCAATGTATAACAACTCGTCTCATTCTTCAGCCTTTGCTCCGTTCCAAGGTAACTCGGGGAGCGGTGGCAGCCGCAACATATGGGGCGGAGGAGGTGGTGGAGGAGGCAACTCTGGAGGCTCCTCGGGAGGTCACGGCAACGCAGGTGGCACCCCTCACAACTCAAATTGGGGAGCTAATGGAGGATCTAACATGGGCAGAGGAGGTTGGTTGATTCAGAGAAAATTAAACTAGATTTAACTGGCGGTAAGAGTTTCCACTTTGTACAGGTCAGTTAAACAGATATCGGACTGATTAATTATTAAAGACGTTTTATCCAGAGGGTAAAGATAAAGATGTGCCCCTGGTTGTCCATCATACAATTTTTTGTTTACTATTCCGGGCTAGGTAGAGTTGCCTCACCCTTGAGGAACGGGCACGGATTATGACGGGCCTCGAACCTCTGACTTTTCGATCTGAAAGCCAAGACTTCGCCACCGGTCTCAAAAAATAGAACAAACTTTATAGCCTTGCATTGAAAAAATGGTACGATTAAGATAAATGTGTCACGAAAAACTTTTTTTCGAGTTTCCGTCAAGTTACCAAACTTGATTTTTGAGATCTAAAATGACAATAAGACCAAATTTGGGTCAAATTTTCTGCGCTGACGGCAAACTTTTGCTAAATTGAGCCAAAATTATTTTTTGGGCTCTCTTTATAAGGCTGTTCCAAAAATCGCGTTTTTAGTTCAGTCCTTCCTCAAAATAGGTACATATTGGCGCCAGAGTCACCCTTAGAAAAATTAAATAGCTGGTCGACTCGCTAAATAGTCGCAGCGAGGGCCCTTTGGGTAAGATCTTATCGAATTAGACAGCAGCTGCCCTCTCCACCTCTAATCCCGCTACTGACACAGAATCTTCAAAATTTTTAAGAGTCATGGACTTAGTAAATACTCTTTATATAGGTCTTGGTAATTTTTTCGTTGTTTTTATCCGAAAAAATTTTTGAAAATTGTTCTTGCTAAAATTTAATTTTGCTCTGTTTGACTTTTGATTTCTTTTTAAGTTCAATTCATTTCTTTTGTTAAGGCAAAGGCAAACTCCATGATCGCATAGCAAAAACCTATAAGGTCAAGATCAACGTGGTCGGCTTCTAGTTTCGAAAGGGGATTTTAATTTTCAGATTTCCCAGCGGAAGTTACCTTTTGACTCAGTTTTCTCAAATGGAGTTAATTTTATCAAAAAAAGTGTCAATCATAAATTTTTGTTTGAAAATTCGAAAGTTTTTCAAAAAACAAGCCACTATCCTTTCTGTTGCTGTGCGTTCATGAGTTTTTTCCAACTGCCTCTTGGCTATATTTCATATGCTGTCTCTGTGTTGCTTAGAACATCGATATGTTCAAGTAAACAAAGTGGGTTCAGTTACATTTGAAAAATTGTTTCGATAACCACTGTTCTTCAATTTGCTAACTTAATTGCTGCATTTGTTCTTAATGCGTATGTATTGGCTTTCCTCTCAATTTGGCTTTTTCAGGGACCTTTCTATCGCAATTGTGCCAAAAAATTAATTTGAGTCGTATAAACTGTTCAAGGGTCCTTAACCCTTCGCGAATAATTGGTTTTAACGCTGGGCTGCTCATTTAGAGTCTGTAAGGATCCTCTTTTTAAGCAATTAAAAAGAATCTTCAATGTTTTTGGTTCATATTTCGCTTTTAGCGTTCTTGGTCTGAATTTTGAGTTCGAATTATGAGGAACAAACCAGACCGAAAATGTTTAAGGCTTATTTTAATTGCTAAAAAACAGTATCATTGCAGGCTCTGGCTGAGCTCTGGGAAACTCACCGTTAAGACCATTTATTCGCGAAAAGTTGAAGGACCCTCAAACAAGTTACGCAGCTTTTTCTTTTTCATGTTTCTGAAAAATGGGGAAGAACTTTGTAGTCGGTTGTGTTTCGTTTTTTTTCCACGCATAATCAGTTACCACAAATAAGCATCGGAGAGAATTGAGTGATATATCATTTAAAGCCCTTTTAGTCGTGATTCGAAGGACATAAATAAATTTTGAAAAGTTTTCTCACTGTCGAGAAAAACTGGTGTAACATATTTGATTTTTTGTCTAGTTTCGAGTGAGCTAGCAGGCTTACAATAGTTTATTTTAATAGCTTAATTTAAGCGGTAAAAACGTAGCCTACTCGTCTAACTTTTTTTGGGTATTTCTTTTGGGAACAAAAATGTCAAAAATTAAAAAAAAAACTTTTTATCATTTTTGTTTTTCTAGTCATTTTATGACACCACGCACGAAAAACTACTATGTTCGGAACATTCTGAGCTACTTGCAGAGTAGCCGGCTATCCTTGTTTACACTGTGACTAAGAGTAATGAACGCAGTGAAGACTCTTTTATAGGTCTTGCGGATTTTTTTTTTTTCAGGAAAAGTCTTATGAATGCACTTAGGTATATATGCACTTTTTGAGTTCAATTTAAATTCATCTGCTGAAAATGACGTAAATAGCACTCTCCAAATACGAACGTGTAAATGGCGCAAAAAAATGAACGATTTAATTTGTAGGTTTCCAGCGGAATGAAAACTGCCAAACTGAGATGTGCCCTTAAAAAACAAATATAGCAATTAAGTAGACAAAATCAAAAGCGGTGGATATCTAGACGTTTTCTCATTTGCAATTGAACCCAGAACTTATTTGATGTTTTAACTGACACTGGGATTGTATATTGAAAGTTTTTGAAAACTCTGTGTCAGCATGGGGTTAGAGTTGTAGGTGGAGCTGCTGCCGCTGGGATGCAACTCTTAAACATTAACTTTTTCGAAAACAGATCAAATTACGCCTAAAAATGCTACAAATTGATAATTTATTTGATACTTGCTTTGTTGTACTTGATTTTAGCGTTCTTGCTCTGAATTCAAAAGTTCAAGTGCAAAAAAGTAATCAATTTTAAACAAGTCGATGATGGTACTGAAGACTCTTAAACAGATCATGATGACTTTTTTTTTTCATTTTTCCAGTTAAAATCTTCAAATTTGCTTACGCTGCCATTTGATTTTCCCTAGTTTGTTTTTATATTTCTTAACTTTTGCGAGAGCAAGTGTCTTGTAATCGAGAGCTAGACCTTCTGTAGAGAACTTTCCTGACAAGAAATTCAACTCGCTTTTTTATTGAACCTTCACAGTTTCCAGAATCCTTCTCACTTGGCCCAGAGGTAACGCAGTTGCCTGTGCATCTTAAAGTTTGGTGTTTGAGTCCCGGCCTGACCTTTTTTTCCAAAACGTATGAAATTGAAAATGTTTTTCCGGTCAAAATTGAATTATCGAACTTTTTTGTCTGTTCAACTTCTGTCGTCTTAATTGCCACATCATGGCTTATTCTTGTGCTGTAAGTAAGTTTCAAGGAAGTTGTAAGTGTTGCACTTAGTAATTTCATATGGGACTCGTAACTTAAGAAAAAAAATTTTTCGGTTCATTTGATGTCTGCTCAAAGATTGTCGGCTTTGTTTCCGCTTCGGAACATTCATTCCATTGCTTACTTTAGTATTTACCCTTGCGAGCGCATGTGTTTTTTTTATTCTGAATCTAGACTTTTTTCCCCGAAACTACTTTTCTTACCCTTCTGTAAGAAATTGTGAAGTTGCTTTATTAGTGAACCTTAACAGCTTTGAGACTCCTACCTACGTGGTTCAGAGGTAACGCGGTTTTGTATCCTAAGATCTGGGTTTCGGATACGGCTGGACCTTGTTTTTTCCGTTAGTGTGAAATGGGAAGTTTTTTCGGAAAAATATTGTCGGAGTTTCGTTTGGCTACGTATATTTTATTGGCTTAGTTACCACATCGGGGTATTTTGTGTTTTCAACAATTTCCATTTTAGGTGCAAGTGTTTTTGATTTACTCCTGTACTTTATAAAATTAATAGCCCTGACGACCTATGTTTTAATAGCCCTCTTTTCCTTTGTTTTTTTTCGCTTAAAAGCTTTACTTTTTCTGAATTGTTTCAACTTATGATTTGTGGTCTTAGTTACTTTATGGAAAAACTGATTGATTCAGGTAGTATGTGTTACACGATTTCAAAGTTTAAAATTTTAATTTAAAGCTCTGCTTCGTATCTGTGTTTCTGTGTTGTAAGCTCGGCTCATTTCCTTTGTTAAAAAGAAGGCAAACTTCACTATCGAACAGAAAGTGTAAAGGTCACGAAAAACGTGATCAACGTCTAATTTCGAAAGTGGTTTTTATTTTTCAGATTTCCTAGAGGAATAAAAACTTTTCCTGTTCATTCAGTTTTGTCAAATTGAGTTGTCAATCATCAATTTTTCTTGAAATTGAAAGAGTTTGAGGCTAACTTTTTTGGTCGAAAGTTGAACCTATTTTCTGAAGCTCAAGGTCCCTTTGTGATCGAAAAAAAAAAGAGAGAAAAGGCTGTTTTTTTCTAAACTTTTATTTCAACTGCCTAATTTTGTTTTAGGAAATGGGCGACAAACGGCAGGTGGTTGGGATCGCCCACGCAATGGCAATGGATTCAGTCTTGCACCCGGTGTGAACTCGAGACCAATAGGAGCATGGGGCGACGCAGGAACACCCGCTGGCTCGAGCAACGGAGCCAGTGGCACAGCTCCCGGATCTTCCATTTACCCACAAACAGGTGGCACAACTGCCGCATCGCAATCCAAGGTCAATCCAAGCAATATCTGGAACATCCCGGGAGTGGGGAGTGAAGGTGGAGCCCCTCCAAACGAGAGAGAAAGTGCGGGAAGTGTCAGACCGATTCCTTCAGCAACTCCTGCCTCGAATATTGTTGCAACTCCTGGAAGCGCGGGAGCCAGCTCGGACCCGCAAGGTGACTCGTTCACAAACATCGGCATATGGGAACCAGAAGACAAGCAAGGAAAAGACATGGATTCGGACCCGAAAGGCACCAGACTATGGGCTATGTTCTTGCAATCTAGAGGACATGCAGAAGACAAAAACATGGGAGGAAAAATGAAGATTCCCTCGTTCCAAAGTGTAGAGGAAATGAGTGACAGTGAAAAACGATTGCTGTTGGAAAGACTCATTAACACTCACGAGGGCTGGGGAAAGATATCTGTCAGTCAAGATGTACCTTGGGATGAAACTATGAACACATTCAACAGATCAGAAAGTATTTCGTCGGACAAAACTCATTCGGATAATCCGGAGTCACCGACTTCGCTGAGCGATCCGACAAGCTTCCCGGCCATGTCGAAGTCGGCAGGTAACAACTCGGTGTCTCTCGTCTCGCCTACCTCAAAAGCTGGAGACGGTTGGGGCTCACCGCAAGGTACGGATAATATGAGAAGCGCTGTTGGAGGCATGCACAGAAACAGCAGCAGTCAGATGTTGGGAGGGCCTGGGGACGAGGCGGGAACCTCTGCCTGGAAGCAGCAGTCTTCTGGGGCACCTTGGCACTCGCCACAAGGTCAGTCAAAATTAATCACGTTTCTTTGAGTTTGTGAGATGGGGTGAATTGTAGGTCTTGTCTCATGTTATGTCTGCACAGGCTTTCTAGATATATGAAGTGTTTGGAAAAAGAGTGACGCATGATGCTCCTGGTGTTGAAAAGTGGTCCTATTTGGAACTGTTTAGGGTACGACGCCATGTCACAAGGTTCTCACTCTGTCGCACCTGGAGGCAACCAGTTCAACAGCCAACCATCGCAATCCAACCAATCTACTCAACAAGCAATCACAGGCCCAGTCTCAGTCAGTGTAGCCCCTCCACACCCCAACCAACAGCAACCAGGGCCGACCGGGGCCTCGCTGCCATCCCCGAATGCATGGGACAAACCCCTCAAATCCCCTGCGTCTGTCATTGGAGGAGCACCGGGATCGAACCAGCTCCCTGGTGGCGACAAAAGTGGAAATGGTACTGGTGGTCAGGCTGGAAATCAGAGCGGAATGGGCGGAGGTGCTTCTTGGCCCCTGGATACAGCTGCAGCGGCGGGAGAGATAGCGGCTGCAATAACTACAGTGCCGCTGCCAACTCTGCCAAGCTCGAGCAATGCGGTTTGGACTAGCAAGGTATGAATGGGTTTCAAGTATTTAGTTTTCTGTATTTTAATGAGACAAGTCTTAAAGTACTCTGAGTAAGTTGATTGCTGATTAAATTACAGGTTTTTACTTCTTACCTGCATGGTTGGAATGGGAACGTTGAAAAGTGCGGTGCTGTTGTGGGTTTATGATGGCCCTATAATGATGGGTATCTCTATGTTTGTGCTTTCATTTCAGTCGACAGACATCGGAGGTGGCGACTCCTGGGACTCGCACTCAGTGAACCGAGGACTCTCCTCGGATATGTGGAACCTAGACAACTCAGACAAGGGATCCCTCATCTCGGAGAGCATGCGGGGAGGAAATGGAGGAGGAGGATTGCATCAGCACAGCCTCCACAGTTCAAGAGTTCCCTCCCCCAGTCCACTGGATGCTGTCAGTGATGAACTGTTCAAGGTCAGTTGATATTAGTAAATTCAATTTTGATCGAGGAACAAATTCTCTGATATGCGAGAAGCAAAGTCAGGATGTTGTGTTTTGTTTAACTCATTCAACGGAAGATATTTGGAAAGCTTCAAGTTTGACTAAAAAGAAACCTTTAAGCTCATTTATATCGTTAATGTTAGTTTGTGCGGGTGCGAGGGTCTTCTAGTAGGTACAGTTATACTGATAGAATGGATGCTTATAAGTGCGATGATTGTAATCGTCGACATTTTTTTTTCACAGGCCAACATGCAGAATTCTTCAAATGCCATGTCCAAACTGCCCAAGACACTTAGTGGCCAAATGATGGGTAATCAGCAACAGTCTTCCGCTGGATTAGGAGGTGCCAGCATGGTCGCCTCCCATCAGAGACCAACCAATTTGGGTCCAAACATGAGCGGGTTCCCCTCTTCCGACAGTCCGGGACCTTTGGATTTTCCTATTTCTGGTATCCTAGACTCCAGTGACAACCAAATGCAGAACAGTATTTTTGGAAACAGTGCTAGTCACAACCCTGCTGGAAAATACCAGCAGTCTTCTTTCATGGGTGGCCAGACAGGAAGTGCACGTACATCCGGAGCAGCGCCGGGTTCCTCAATGATTCCGGGAGGAAACACTGGAAGCATGATGATGCAGCAACAGCAACAGGCGAATGCTTTGAAACAGCAGCAGCAACAAATGCATCATTTGGAACTGGCTTGCAAAGCTGGATTGTTGCCTAGTAATACCAACCTGAGAATATTTTCACTTGGTCTCGAGACTCGACAAACGGTGCACTATAGAGACTGTCTTCAGAAGTATGCGCAAACTAAGTTTGCCTATCAGAAGCTGAGAGCACAACACCAGTTCAAAAGCAACCAGGTGCAACAGAATCCCAGGAGTCAGTCATTGCAAGCGGCATACCACGAACACTTGCAGAGCATGAAGAGCTACGAACACAATCTGCTCGCTCTAGAGGTAAGTTGTAACCTTGCGTAATTCAGTTTTTGAGGCACATCGCGTGCTACTCCATCAAAAATACAACTGATGTAAACAAGAAATAAAAAATATGAAGTTTCGTGCATCTATTTTTTGTCGTCACTACTTATAAAAACAACTGAAATTAACTACCCCTTTTCAGGAAATATTTGATAAAGAGTCATGAGCGTAGTTAATACTAGTGTTGAAACAATAGTTCGAACGTTCATTCGCGAGGTTGACGTTCGAATGCTAATTTCATAATTCGAATATAGATTAATCTAGAACAAAGTTGTCATGTGAGTGTGAATAATTGCAATTCACGCATGCTGCTCTGTAATTGGTTGAAAAAGGATCAAAATCGCATCGGCTTTTATTTAATTTAGTTCAAAATGATTAAAGTGAATTATGGCTTTTCAGAAATAGTCTTAAGATTTCTTCACGCTAAAATTTGATTTTTTTTGCTGTTTGACTTTTGATTTCTTTTTAAGTTCACTTCATTTCATTTGTGATAAAGTGTAAAGGTAACGAAAAACGTGATCAAAATCTAATTTTGAAAGTGGAATTAAGTTTTTAGATTTCCCAGCGAAATAAAAACTCCACTTATTGATTCAGTTTTTACACTTGCGATCAACTTAGTGTGTTATTACGAACCTTATTTTTTTCTAAGCTAACTCGTAAATAAAAGTGTTTTCTTATTTGGAAATTTCACTTTAGCATTAGAAATTACATAGCATCTGTTTTCTGCTTTTGTTGTGGCTAGTGTATAGCATTAGAAATTACATAGCATCTGTTTTCTGCTTTTGTTGTGGCTAGTGTATGGCGTAAATTAAGCTTCCGTGGCTGCGTGGGTAGTGTGCGAGACGCTTAATCTCTAGGTCGCAGGTTCGAATTTCAGAAGTAACTGAGTTTTTGCTAATTCCAGACTTATTTCTAGTTTTTATTATTGAACTTTATAGAGCTGCTTTTTTTCATTTTCACACGAGTGTTTGCGAGGCGAAGCTTCGCCTCTGTGTATCAAATTTGCTCTTTGAGTTTTGATTTTCACAATTGAATTGAAGAGAACTTGAAAAAAGTTCTCTTCAATTCAATTGTGAAAATGAAGTCAAACTCAACTATCGAAAAGCAAAAGGGTAAAGGTCACGAAAAACGTGATCGATTTCTAGTTTCCAAAGTGAAAACAAGTTTTCAGATTTCCCAGCGAAATGAAAACTTTACCGATTGATCCAGTTTTCTCAAGTTGGTTTAATTTTATCAAAAAAGTGACGATCACAAATTTTTCTTGAAATTCAAAGGGCTTTATTTTTTTCTTTGAAATTCTGAAGTTGAAGTTTTTTCGTAAAAACAAGTCACTTTTTTTCTGTTTCCTTGCATTCATGACTCTTTTCAACTGCCTGTTGGCTTATGTGTTTTCTAATTGTTGGAAACTTTGTTTTAGCAAATCTGCAATAAGTTATTTATGGACGTGCAAGCACAGGCTGCAAGCGCAATGCAGATGCACTCTCCTCAACAGCAGTCCTCTAATAACACTTCGGCTAGTCTCATCGGAGGATCAGGCATCACGGGACTGATCGGTAGTGGGGGCAATGGTGGAAGCTCCGGCAGCAGGTTGAACAAGTGGATCGGAACACCAGACTCCGGCTCGAACCCGAGCAGCGCTTCTGCTATGGAAGACAATGTGTTTGACATGGTGAGTAGATCTAGTAATTTACTTAGGGATCTTCAAGAGAAAAATAATTTATTGGAAGAGTAACTGATATTTTGATCGGTGCTACTGCACGATAGCTGGCGAAGCCGAACGCGATGACGCCTTGTTTTGAATTTCCCACGCGGAAACGGAGAGCAGTGATTGCGGTGATTGGTTTGACTATTTGAAGGTGTGTAATGGGTGCATCTTGCTTAATTGTGAGAAGAATCGGATTTTGAAGTTTTTTGAAATATTCGTCTGTTTTTGTCCATTTTGGAAGTTTTTTAACTATTGTTAGTCAAAACTGGTTTTTTGGGCGCAATCCTCTATTTCAGACGTAGTATAGACGATTCCTTATAAACTTATTGATCGCCTGACACATCGGAAGGATGTCGAAAAGATCCGATTCAGAAGAAAAAAAATGTTTTAAATTTGAATTTTTTAGACTAATCCGAGCGTATTTGGTGGAATGCCGTTCGGAGGTGGATACAAAGGCGGAGACAGTGGCTCGAAGATTGTGCCCAGCAACATACCAGAGTTCATTCCTGGTCACCCATGGACTGGTACTAAGGACTACGCCAACGATCCAGATGCCACTCCAGCTTCGGTCAACACCTGGCAAAGCGCCGTGAATCAGAACGATGTGATGACATTGCAAGAGAGCCTGAAAGCAATGGCAGTTGGTGGTGGAAATTCTCAAGGAGGAATGGGAAATTTCATGAAATCCCCTAACTGGAACAACCAGGGAAGCTCTGGTTTTGACATGGGTGGAGCTTCGGACATGTGGCGAGGTCAACCTAGAATGACTCCGGGACCTGGTAGCTCCAGCAAGTCATGGAATGTTGGACCCTACGGATCTCCTGGGCTCAGTGGTCAGGGATCCATTGGTGGGGGTCCTTCGGGAAACAGTGCAAAGTGGCAGCAAGGGATCCGTGGTCAAGGTATGTCCTCTACAGGGTACCAGAATAGCTTCGGAAGTCAGTCTGGCATGTCGTCTCAGAGACCCAACATGCCACATGGGTTCGGACCCGGAGGTTACAGGAGTGGAAGCAGTGGTCATGGAAATCAGAATGGTAAAACTTAGTTTATAAACTTACTGGAAACATCTTACGAGACTATGAGTGTTCGGAAAGTAAAAATGTTTATAATATACTAAGATTACTTTGACGTACTTATGTTGTCGCTACCTTTCACTGTCTTTTATTCTCAAGAAATGTTGTTTTATAGTGATGGGATCTGGCTGGAACTACCCAGGCGGTAACTTGATGGGAGGCGGAGGAGGAACCAGCGGTGGATCCTTCGATACCTCTTCCCTCGGCATGATGCCCTTCGGATCCATGGGGGGTCAATCTGGTGACCACTCATCCGGTGATCAGGGTGGAAACGGATCCGGTGCCATGTAATCGACTGATCGTCGTCTAAAAAAGATGCCACAAAGTAAAACTAATTTGGACAGTTTTCACCTTCGAAACTAGCCAATAATCGAAACACAATCAAGAGGTGCCAGCAAATGATTATCCGTCGACTAGTTCTTCTAGTATTGCTGCTGATCGAATGGAGCTAATCTCTACTCGATAGAATCTACTATCTCGAAACCGAATCTTGTCCACTTTTTTTTTACTTTAAGTAACCGAATTATACGCTGGCTGTCGTTTTCACTGGACTTAAAAAGCTTGCTTACATTTCCAAAAGCTCTCCAATATGATCAGTATTGCTATATTTAAAGCTGCATTAGTCCGTCAATTATTTGAAAACAAAATTATTCACCTGAAAATGGCATTACAAGATAGACCATTTATTCAATTCATGGTCAAACATTCATTACTTGTTAATTGCAATGTCATCGGAGTCTTCTTTCATCATTAAAAAACTGAACTATTATAAATCGTTTCGGTGACCTTGACCTTCAAAGAAATTGGATTGACTTACCTCACCAATCCAGCCTTCCATTTTAGACGCCATCGTAAATTTATCAGTTATTTTCTGGATTGGTCCTGAACGCAGGCTAACCGATGTTCCGGGTTTTTATAAACAGTTGCCCGGGGACTTTTTTGGAATCTAGATGCGTGCTGTCCTTTTTTGATACAAAGGATAGTATTTTTATGTCTGTTGTTACTGTAGTAGTTGGTTTTCTTATTGTAATATCAGTTCTAGACTTATCATTTAACATTACATTTTTATTCTGCTATGGTGCTTTATCACTAGTTCCTATCTTAACTGCTTGCTAATTGGAGGAAACCTTTCGGCTTTCTTGCAAATCGGCTTTCTTTCCAGTTCAATCCTTCTGCTATTCGAAGCCAATGCAAATCGACAACCCAACCAAGCCTTTAACACTTCAGCTCAGCATTCTCAAGTGTCAAAGGCAAAGTGCAATTTTCACAAATGTGTCTTCCTAACTTCGCTAAAATTTTCGGTTCAATTTCCTTTGACATATTCTACTTCGACTTTTTGAACTAATAAACGTGGAAGAGAAGAAAATTTGTGCATGTTTTAGCCACAAACAGCAGTGCTGTTCTATCCGAGAATTGTATCTGGACTAAATGGTTAAATTCAAATTGTCGGATTTCAAGGTTATGAGCCAAAATTTTATCAAATCACTTCAAACGTTGCCCACAGTTTACAGTCATCGTACATTTTTTAAGCAGTTTTCAATTTAATTACTGCAATTACAATTAATTTATTTTCTAAAAAAAATTTCAAAAAGAAAAAAAAGTATAAAATGTGAAAAACCAAAATCTTTCCGTTCTTAGCTATTATAGATGTTCCAAAATTGCTAAACTTACTTTTATTTTTGTAGATTGAACTGTTACATCTCGTTAATTACGTGGCCTAATTAGTTTTCGTTATCAATTTAATATCTCCTGGTTAACTGACTGAATTGCAATATCTGTTACTTGATACCGGTTGCTTAAATGTCACTTACAACATAAATCCGACCAGAATTAAATAGTTGTGTAGCTTATCGCGTAGTCATCAAATGCTAGTGAAAGTTCGCAGAAGAAAATTTTTCGTGGCTCAACAAAAAAATGATTGACGTTGTCTTGTTCGAGGTGGACATATCGAATACCGCTGTCAAAATAAATTTCAGGCAACCAAAAAAGAATTTTCGGAAGCCGTGTACGATGATGATAGATCGATAGTTCCCGATTTATAAAAATGACACGGCAGAAAATCCTTTTGAAATGAAGCAGGATTAGAATTTTATGCGATATTTTGCGAGCTACTTTCGAACAAAACTACAAAACGCTTTTCTTTCAATTTTGCTCTTCGCTTTGTTGCCATTTTGCTGCCTTTTATTTGGTTTCTTCCCCGAATTTTACCTTCTCCCCATGTGGCCAAATCAACCATAAGTTGCCCATTTCTCGTGCCCAAAATTAACCCAAACAGCAATTGACTAAACATCCCTTCACGGATCTAGAAGCAGTTCTCTCTGGAAAATGACATAATTATATCAAACTGTCACGAATATCAACCTTTTTCGAAACTGTTGAAAGTTACCAAGTCAAATTTCATTTAGCTTCTTGCCTGATATAGTTTTTTCAAAACAATGCTTAAAAAACGCACACTGAAACCTTTAACTGTACATGCGTTGATTTCAAAAAACAGTTTATCACCTTGTTTAAAGCACGATTCTTCAAAGGGTCTAAAATAAAACTGGCCATGGATTTCTCTCAATTCAAAGTATTTTATTCAACTTGATTTTCAATTTATTATGTTACATTCCCTTTATTAAGTTGTTATGCATTTGATTACATAACTTCGACGGCATATAGCGTTAAATGTGGACAACAATTTATCCTCGACTTAAAGATTCCAATTAATGAAAAACTTTAATAACTTTTTATTGCAATATTTCTATTTACCTGCCAGACAATGTTAAGCGTTTCCACTATTATCCTTATCTCAACTATCTTCCCCAAAGTTTACTTCCTTTTTCCAAAAAAAAACACGAAATCAAAAAAATATTGAAATAATTAAATGGTCTTCTGCAATCCTTTCAGTGCATCATAATCATCATCTTTTTTCATCAGATTGAATTTAATTTTCTCCTACTAATTTATTCTACTAGCTTCGATTATAACTCAGTTATTCTCCGCAATTTATGATTTGGCTTTCGAAAATCAAAGAAATGGGATCCAGTACATACGTTACAATTGACGTTGTTTGACTGGTTAAAAGCGTGTCTCCGAGCGACAAGTTAATTTATCAGAAACTTATTTCATCCGTTCGATTGTCTTACCTTCTGACCCCAAAAGAAAGGTGCACCAATTGTGCTAACTCCATAAATCCATCTTAAGATGCAGTATCAGTTACTACAATGCCAAACAAACACGAATCAACCGAAAATAGATATCCTATCTGTTTTAAATTACGGAACAAGTAAATCACAAACGTCTTCTTTTGCAAGTCTCCTCAAAGTTGAAAATTCCTAATTTAGTCTCAAATTTGAAATTCTAATTAAAATTGTCCCCACAAATCTTAAGTGCAATCTTCCACATTGAGGCCGAGAATCTTATCAACTCAACTGAGCCTTTCCAAAATCAACTTCCAAGATTCCAACTATGTCCAATGCTCAACCAGCAACGATTACTTGGTAATGATTGTTGACAATAAAGGTTTTCTCAAGTTTAAATTTCTTTGAGGGTGCGACGTTATCATTTCGCCTCGCGCTTATCAGTAATTTCTGCGTTGTGAGCTCATCTGCTAAAAGGTCATTGGAATAAATCATCAGAATAACTCGCTCTTTTTTTGTCTCTCGGTACAACACACTTATCACACAGAGCTGCCTTGTAACAACAACCAAACAAAGTGCAAACAAACACAACCAACCTACCAAATCTTCTCAATCCATCCGTCAGCCAATCACAGACTCTTACCTTATCAGAACTCTTCTTACCAAACAAAGATACCGCACGTTGGCTCAAACACACTTTCGTCCAATTGATACATTCGACATAGAAATATCTTTCCTATCTACCCTTGAAGCGTAGTGATTGACATTTGGAATTGGATCGGACAGGAAAGACTCTGCTTAAATGTGAGCTAAAAGTTTAATTATTTTCTTTAACCTTAGGTGTTAAAAACGGTTGAAATTCTGTAATGATCAAAACGAAAAGGACGAATGGAAGATTTCAAACATGTCGCTCTCGTACCAGCTTTTGAATATTTTAAGATATCCATTTTTGGCTGACTGACCTTAAAATTTTTTAAGGTGCCTTCAGCGCGAATATATACTAATTTTGAGGGAGGAGCGCGCGCCGAAAAACGCAATTTTTTGGTCAACATTTTCTAAAATTGCATAAAAACGTTTTTTTTGCCTGTTTTTTTAAACAACTTGCCTGCATCTCACAAAATTTGGTCAATATAGGCTCTTTATAGTGATTTGGGAGAGCTCAGAAAATCAATTTGGTAAAAAAAAAAATTCTCCCGTAAAAAAGTTTTCGACGTTTTTTTCGCGCCTGGTGGTTGTTTTTTTTTAATTTTAAAAAAAAATGTTGCAATTTTTAAACATCTTCCGAAGAAAACTGATATCGAATGGGCCTAATTGGCTTATAATATCCAATATGCCAAAGATCTAGACTCTCATTAATTCTCTCATCACACCACGAACTAACAACAACACTATTTGACAAAAAAAAAGAAACTTTTTAAGAGTCAATGAACATAGGACAAAAAAAGAAACTTTTTAAGAGTCAATGAACATAGTGAATAATCTTATATAGGTCGTGATGATTTCACTTTTGATTTCTTTCAAGTTCAGTTCATTTCTTTTGCTGAAAGGAAGGTAAACTCCACTATCGAACAGCAAAAAAGGTTAAGGTCACGAAAAACGTGATTGAATTTTCAGTTTCGAAAGTGGATTTTAATTTTCAGATTGCCCAACGGAATAAAAAATTTTCTTATTGTCGGTAAATGTTTTCTTTATGCTTGCGATTAGCAAGTTTTATCATATCGGACTTTCTTAGGGCTAACAAAAAGTTTAACATAAGCAGATGTATCAGTTGGCATGTCTTTTCTGATGGACTTTTTGTTGTTGATTTCAAAACAACTCTTATTTTTTTTCTCTTTTTTTGCTGATTCTTTTTTTTCACTTTTGTTTTTTGGCTTGAATGGTTTCGGCTGATAATATATTTGTTTATTTGCCTCATGATTTGTCGTTTAGATGGCCAAAATATTTTTTATTGCATTTGTGCCCGTGAAGGGGGGTGTGAAAAACGGAGAATGAACAGTTCAAGATTTTTTATGTCTAAAATTTTTTAACAGTTTTTTTCAGGTCCTTCGTTGTGTGCACAGTTAACTTTTGATGAATATTGTTTTTCAATGCCTTTTTCACACTGTTTATTGTGTTTCTCGGTGTCTTTCATCAAAATCAACCACAACCACCTTCGAGGCAAATTTAAAAAAGATTTAAGGCCACTTATTTTCCTTTAAGGTGCGAAAGGTGAAGTTTTCAAAAAAAACAATTCAATTTTATTCTTGATTTTTTGCGTTCATTGACTCTTTTCCAAATGTCTGTTGTCTATGTTTTATATTTGCAGTTACCTACGTATGTTTGCTGTTTCCAGGTCGAAATCAATCACGTTCCCCTAGGAGTGAAGAAAATCTGAAGCATGTGATATCTTCAAAGAAGCCATCGTTAATCAAAACTTGAAAAAAAACTTCAAACTTAATTAAGTGTCAAATTTTGACTCACTGCAAATTATGAAGCAAATACCAGGATTTCATTATTCTTCGGTTGCTTTCAAAAACTTTATCATTTAGCTTAACTAACTCTTAATTGCTAAGATTCGAGTCAAAAACATGATTTACGCGTTTGAATAGAGCTCGGTTGATTTTTCCTGAAATTCCTGCCGATGATTTTGACTGAATCTGTGTGAGTTTAATGTTAGATTTTTATATAGCCGTAGTAGCCTTTTGTTGTTAATTCTATTTTGATACTTACTAGCCATGTCAATAATTATCACAGAGTATTCTATTCTAGTCTAATCTTATGTTAAATGTAGTATGTCGATATCGATGAGCGTTGCAATGCTGAGTTTTGTTTTCAATGGTGCTTCTTCCTGTAACTAACAATACTACCCAATGTTAGACCTACAACCTTGAGTTGGAGTTACTGAAAAAGTCTAAAGGATCAAGTTACCAATAAAATACAGAAAATTGTTTGATTTTTTTTGCTTTTTTCGTCTGAATGATAGTAGTGATGATGTAAACGCAAACACGAAAGCCGCTGATGGGGAAAAATAACCATTCATTGCAAGGTCAATGCCCAAAATTGTACTGAATTTCTGATTTTTCAAAAATAAGAAGACAAAAAGATAGTATTTTTTATCTTTGGGTTTGCGTTTTCTGTCTCAGGTTCACTCAATTCGAATCAGGGATTTATTCCGTTATACGACCCAAATCTGGAAACATGGGCCCACCGAAGCTTTTTGGTTTTGATTAATTTCAGCCAATCAGATTCAATCAGTTTGATCAAGTATTAAAATATGATAACTTACAACAAAAACAAATTTTGGGCCCAATAAAGGAATAGATCATAATCAATATTTTGAGCAGTGCTGAACTGTAAGTGTATCACCATGCCTTGAACTCTCTTGTCGCTAACTCCTGTCAAATTATACTCCGCTGCGGCTTCAAACCAAATAAGTTCCATCATAATTGCCTTTAGTTTTATAGTAAATTATAATTACTACTCCCAACAAAGCATATTAATGAACTGTAATCTACTTGGTATTTGGAGACATTTGGTTATAAAAATATAACAATCTTCTTTTGGCGCTGTGAAAATCGAATTGTTGTTTCAACTAAGTTAGTGATCGCTTGAACAAGTGTGTATGCTAAATGAACCATTCTGCCTAGTGAAAGGCCAAAGGCCTCAACAATGTATCGAGACCTTCATCGCCTTGAATGTCTTCTATTCACTTCTTAAGCTATCTTTCCATTATCATCAGAATTGTTTCCCGAATCAGTTTTGCTAAGCAAGATAGTAGTGTATTGGGATCAATTGAGCAATCTCCCCCCCGTAATGACCAATTGAGCTATCTCCCCCCCAGCAAAAACAAATAAACTCTTCAAAAAGACGTCAGCAAACGGAAGTAGATGGATGTTTTGTTTATAGCACGCAATCATTTGACCGACTGAAGTTTTTTTTATATGAGTATCGAGAAAATTTTGAAAAAAAAATCGAAATTTATGAAAATTTTTTTTGCAAAACTTTGTCTAGGCGACCATAGCCTCATCGAAGAAAGCGATTTACCAGGGTTTGTGCTCTAGCCTTGTATCTGAATAGGAAAAACGGTTCTCCGCAGCCCCTTAATATTGTTCGCAAAAACTTTTTGTCATGTTAAGAAAGGAAAAAAGTCGCTTTTTATGCCTGTTTTATTGATTCTTTTTTCAATCTAAATGAAACTTTTGAACTTTGATATTGTAAATTTTGGCTTTCCACAGTCGTTGGAAAATATGTTTTATGATTTCATGCCATTCAAACTATTTTCAAGTGGTTATAAACATGTCTCAAGTACCTATTGAGCTATCTCCCCCCCACGCGAGGATGGGGGGGAGATTGCTCAATTGATCCGTGTATTGTAATCGCTTTTGCTCCGAAATCAAACCATTGCTATTAGTGTTGTAACCTCTCGACAGATTGATTAAGTTGAGTCATCTATCTTATTTTGCTGCGCAATTGTTTGGTGTTTAGTTTGGAAAGTTAACGAAATTTTAATCAGTAATTAGTGTATTTACATGTACGTGTATCTAATAATTCTTAGTGTTTGCGCAATTTTTCAGCAATTCAATTGATTTGCCTCAGTAGATCAGTGCTCCCTCTAATACAATTCGGATTATGCAATTTATTACTTGTCATGCTACACAGCATTATAAAAGTACCAAGTGCTAAGCTACAAAACTTTCAAAAAGTTCGTGCAAAATTTACCAAAATTGCTTCGGGGTCAAATAGCTTCCTAACTCAATTCACAAAGTTCAATCGTAGATTCAACTGGAGTTATTTGGCCCTTAAAAATCACTTAATTATGTTACCACAATGTGATTTCCAAGCTGACTGCATTGCACATTTGAATTATTCCCTCTGTCTAATCAAAGTCTCACTTATCGTCAAACTCAATTATTTAGTTTCTAGATGTTAATAATACCTGCATTACTTCATGGGTTAATTCAATAAATGCTTTCTTCATACTTGTTTTTTGGTGTGAACCTTTTTTATACTTGAAAAAATATGAGTTGCATTCTTAAATGCAAAACCAGCTGTAAAAACCTCATCTCAATTATGAGCTTTGAATAGAGGTGCACAGCAAACTTTGGCTGACGAGAAAACCAAAGCTATTTCCGTTAAAAACTTACGCAAATCAGGCTGCGATTGGATCCTATATATTTTTAAGTGTCCATGAACAAAATACGAACGTGCAAATGTTTCACAGGGGAATAAAAATAAACTTATCAATCCAATTTTCTGAAATTGAGATAATTTGATTACACTTGTAATAAGCAAGAGTAATGTAATCGGGAACAAGAATTTTTTATACAAGACTTTTCCCGTAAATAACTTTGTTCACAGGACTCATTCCTGGACTCCTTCACCTCTTAGACCTCACTTTAAATCCCACCCCTCTTGTAAATCGTAAACACCTTTGAGTTTGATGTGTTGCAAATAGTAAACTGTTTTACGTATCCCGTGTTTTCAAAATTTGCTGTTTATGTTGATTGTAATTTTTCCAACTCGATTTCTTGAAATTTTCTTTTTGAGAGGGAGAGGGAAACTAAATATTTTGTATTAGTTTCAACTTTTTTTGAAACCGATTTTCGGATTTCCCTTTTTTTGTCCTTTTTTTCAGCTTAACAGTTTTCGGTACAATTTACATCGCCTTAGTGGCTTCATAATGTGCCTTTTGATGAGAAAAGATTTCTTGCGTGCGAGTGTGTGTTTTAAGGGAAAGGGGAACTCGAAATTTTTTATTAGGATCTAATGTTTTTGACACTTTTTTCGGTTTGAAGGGCTTATGCTCAGATATTTCGGCTTTGTTACTGCTTGGTTTTCTTCCGATGCCAGTTTCGCATTCTATTGTCTGGGAATATTTTTTTCAAAACTTTTTTTTACATAAAGATATGTTTGCATGTATAATTATAGTTTCGAAATTTTCTTTTTTTTTTGGCCGATGGTTTAAATGATCGCAAACGACGGTATCTAAGAACAGATATGCAAATTGCGTGAACAAAAAAAACTGTCGACTCCAAATGCAAAAGTGGGTATTACTAACAAATTTTTATGTTGATTTAAAAATTTACTTACAGATCACGTTATCCCTTAGCTAATTTGACCCAAAAAATATCAAGCACAAATTTTTCTCATACTGAAATAGTTATTTTTTAACGGTACGTTGACAATGTTAACATTTTCATTAAAAGTATTATGCATTCATATTTATCCTGTTCCCAAGCTTTCCAATTTCTATTCTTTAGCTAAGTTGAAAATTCCAAAAATGTCTTCAGAATTGCTTTAACATAACCCTATCTGTTTTGTTACACAACAAAGCGTAGTGTGATACTATGATGCAACTTTGTTTCCCAAACTAAGTGGCCTTTAAAAGTGCTAATTATGTGGCACATCTGAGTCAGGAGGCTGCATTATAAATATAATATTATGTGCTCTAACGTTTGACTAGAAATAAATTGGCATAGTGATGCTTTTTAATTCGACAATCGAACTGAAACAAAAGTATTCGTTTCATATAGCAGTCCAAAATTTAAGTTCGCTTTCAGATTTTTTCTAACTCAATAATTTTTACGCGATTGTTGAATAATAGATTTTTTCAAATTTTGGCACACCAGCGGATTTAGGAGGGGGCGGGGAGGACGCCCCTCTCTCTCAGGAATTTGACCCCCTGCCGACCCAAAGGGTCCCCTATGTACTAATTTGAGATATCCATTTTTGGCAACGAGCCCTAAAATTTTTCTAAAGGCGCCTTAGGCGCCAATATATACTTATTTTGAGGGGGGACCGCGCGTCGAAAAAACGCGATTTTTCGGTCAACATTTTTCAAAAATTGCATAAAAACGCTTGTAATAGCGCATGTTTTCAAATTTTTACCTGTGGCGCAGAAAATTTTGCCAAAAAGAGTTTTTTTTTCTGCTTTAGGAGAGCTCAGAAAATCAATTCACTCGGTAGTCGACTTAAAAAAGGTGACAAAACTGTTTTGAAACCCCGCCCTCCCCTCGAGAAAATCCTATATCCGCCCCTGTTTTGGTTCTATTTATTCCAATTTGTGTTATGTAAAAATTGTGTCATTGCCTTCAGTTTATTACGTTCCATAATATAACAAGCAAGTTTTTGTTTTTTTTGTTGATTTTGAAGCTCCTGAATATTTTTTGCCATTTTCTCGCTGGTGTTTGTGAAGTTGCAGCTTTGCATCTGTGTGAAACTCTACTGTTAGTTACTTCTTGCTCTTCAGAGCATCGAAGCTTTCTGACTGTTGACAAAATTCAAATCATTTTTAGGAATGAAATAAACTAATTGGTTGGACGATCTAAATTGCAAATTTGGGTTCTTTCTGAATTTCAGAATTGCGGATAGGCTTTTGCCTTTTACAAAGGCAGTGTAGTTGTTTATACATTAGTTTTAACCAAACACTATCTTGTGCTACCATTGCTTGCTAATGGCTCAAACTGTTACAGAAAATAAGGTAAATTTAGTGCTGCGTATGTTTTTTCCTGTAGACAAGTTTCGAAATTTTTTAAGAAATTAAAACAAGTTTTCTCATTAGATAACTTATTCTTAGGATCTTAAGGGGCAGTCGGATAATTTAGAGCTCTACACTGATACAAGCTGTCTTGTTATAACTTGGATAAGTATGACGCAAGCTGTTTTTGAATCTAAGCATGTCGTAAAAAAATATTTTAAACAAGATTACACCGGTTAATAATCGCTGCTGTATTTCCTCCAGGAAACTATTTTCAAGAAGTATGGTTATCACTGTCGCTACTTACTAAGGATTTTCTCTTTTGTCTTTACTATATGGGTACATTATTCGTGCCGCAGTGAAAAAAAGAGTCTGCCGCAGCGTGCTGCAATGCCAAATTGTTACGACACTGTGGCATCGTGTGAAGACAAATGATTTTGTGTAAATCTAGCATAGACACCAAAGGGTTGAGAAAGTTTCAGTGAATTTGAACGTCAGAAAATTGAAAAAACTGATTAAATCTTACTGAACAACGAGACAGTTGCACTCATCTCAAGCTCTTATTTTAAAAAAAAAAACTGGCATCATAAATTATATCAATTATATAACTGAAGATCGAATGTCTGAAATATTGATTTATTCAAATGAAGCTTGTCTAGAGATGTCTGCATTTGAAATTTCGCAAATCCCTTAGCTTTTTTATAACGCATTTCCAGCAATCTTTGGTTTTTTCATTCATTCATTCGCATGCACGTCAGTAAAATGGTTCGATAGGCGTCATCCTATATATCCAATGATTGACAGAAAAATCGATGCCATGTTTTAGCTGCCATAAAGCGAAGTGGTTGCGAACAATCATTGAGCTCAATGTTTAAGAAAGATGAACTCATTTTAGCTGCAAGGCTAGTACCTGCCCTTTTTTTGATAAAGAAAAGATCGAAACATTCGAAACGATTCGATCTTTAAAGCACCTTCAAATCTTTCAATGTTTCATAGCTCCTATAGCTGGCTTAGAACAATTTTTCTTGAACCGATTCGGTTTATGAAATAACTTGAATTATTTCATAGATTCAAAACTTCAATAGGTTGCTATGAAAAAAATCAATGTTTTTTGAGAAAAAAATTAAAAAATTTTAAAAAAATTATAATGCACGTGTCTTCTTAGGCAAGAAAAAAACCACAACAACCACTGCAATATCGACAACTGAGCGGATATTTTATCTCAAGAATGCTCGTATTTGGATCAGAGCTCGTGTTTGGAGCTGACCTCGTGAGTTTGGAGCAGAGCACGTTTTCGGAGTACAGCTTATTTGTGGATTGCTGCTCGTGTTGGATGCAGAGCCGGTGCTTGGAGC